AAAAAGTTACCAATTTTTCGAATCAAAAGCATAAATGACTCATTTTGTTTGGGTTCTAAAGCTCAGCTACTTATTTGAGTAATTTTTATCTTAATGACAGTGGAACTGAAAAGTTACAAAAGTTCAAAATTGAGCTTTTCTAGAGAAATTTTTCTGTTTTGCATCGGCCTGGAACGGATACTTGTCTATCGCGTGGCAGGCGTCAAACCTTCCACTGAACCACCGATGCTTGAATTAAATTACTAACGTTAGGACAACGTTTTGCTCTTTAATCCAGTTTTTTCGCCAAATCTTTGAATCAAAATCATGAAAACTTCGTTTAATTTTAATTGAGGTTTCGTTTTAAGCTGAAAGTTTGAGTAATTTTTTCTTTTTTGACAGTGGAACAGTAAAAAGATACGAAAGCTTAGTTTTGATCTGTTCCTGGAAAACTTTGCTGCTCTTTATCGGCCGAAAGTTGAATCCGGGTCAATCTCGTGGCATTCGACAATTCTACCACTGAGCGACTGATGCTTGACCATATCGGTCAACCCAAGAACAAAAGCATTGCTCCTCAGTTCACATTTTTCACAATATTTGACATCACAGCCGTAAATGTACTAGATTTTTGGATCATTTTAGTCAAGTTTTAGAATTGAGCTAACTATTTGGGTAGGTTTCCCCTTTTTTGACAGTAGAACAATAATATTACGAAAAATTAAATTTGCGCTTTATCTGATTTTTTTTTGCTGTGTATTGGTCCGATATAGAACCCCGGTTTATCGCGTTGCAGTCAAGAATTTTCTCTTGAATCAGCTTTACCTGAATTCAATTTGTCGCCGTTTGAGAAAAAATTTGTTTCATTTTTTCTGAGATTACGAGTTTAGCTGAGTATTTGATTATTTTCCCTCTTTTTTGACAGTGGAACAAAAATAATTACGAAACTTTGCTCTCTTCCTGGAAAGTTTTGTTGCTCTGCATAGGCCGGGAGTAGGACCCGAGTCTATCGAGTGGTAAGTGAAAGTTCTTGCGATGAACCATCGATGCTGAGGGGAACCTTTTTAAAAATTTTTGCTCCTCATTTCAATTTTTTCATCAAAGTTTCAAATCAAAACCATGAAAAACTTCAGTTTTTTGAGGTTTCAAATTCAGCTACTCAAATGATTAGTTTCCTTATTTTTTGGCAGTGGAACAGTAAAACAAATTACAATAAATAAAGTTTGCGCTTTTACCTGAAACTTTTGCTGCTCTTCATTTCTGGGAATCAAACGCTGGTCTATCGCGTGGGAGACGATAATTCTAACGTTGAACCACCAATGCTTGAGCTATATTGTTCACTGCATGAACGAAGGCGTTGCTCTGAAATTCGAAACTTGACCTGATTTTTGAATCAAAACCATGAAAGGTTGATATTTTATTTGAGTTTTAAAATACAGCTGACTATTTGTGCAAGTTTTCCCTATTTTGACACTGGGACAATAAAAAAAAACGAATGTTTATGTTTGCTCACTTCCTAAAAACTTTTGCCACTCTGAATCGATCAGGATCTATTTTTTGCTAGGCGAAAGTTTCATCATTGAACCATCGATGGTTGAATACTGTTCACCGTTTGAACGAAACTTTGCTCTTCATTTCAATCTTTCCATCAAAGTTTCGAATCAAAACCGTGAAAAACTTTGTTTCATTTTAATTGAGGATTCGCATTCAGCTGAATAGTTGAGTAGGTTCCCTCTTTTTTGACAGTGGAACAGTAAAAAAAATACAAAAGTCCTAGTTGCGCTTTTTCCTGAAATCTTTGCTGATCTGCATTGCCTCGGAATTGGACACGGGTATTGGGAGGCGTTAATTCTACCACTGAACCACCGATGCTGGAAATAACCTGTTCACCGCATGAACAGAAGCGTTGCTCTCTATTTCAAATATTGACCTAAATTTCGAAACAAAACAATCAATGACACATTTTATTTGAGGTTATAAATTCAGCCAGTTATTCGAATATATTTTTTTAGTGGAATAGTAAAAACTTACAAAAGCTTAACGTTGGGCCTTTTCCTAGAAAGCTTCTATGCTTTTAATCGGCCGAGAACTGAATCCGGGTCTATCGCGTGGCCGGCGACAATTTTACCACTGAACCACAAACGCCTGACCTAAACTGTTCACTGCATGAACAAACCCTTGGCTCTTCAATTCAAACTTCTATCAAAGTTTCTAATCAAAATTATGGATGAATTTGACTAATTTTGTTTGATTTTTAGACATCAGTTAGTTGTTTGAGTAGTTTTCCTCTTTTTTGACAGTGGAATAGTAAAAAGTTACGAAAATTTAAGGTTGATCCTTTTCCTGGAAAATTACTCTGCTTTGTATCAGCCGAGAATCGAACCTGGAATTTTAGCGTGGTAGGCGACCATTTATCCACTGAATCAACGGTGCTGGACGGAAAAGACTCACCGTTTGATGACAAACTTGCTCCTCATTTTGATTTTTTCATCAAAATTTCGAATCAGTACCATGAAAAACTTTGGTTCATTTTATTTGAGTTTTCATATTCATCTGAATAATTAATTAGTTTCCCTATTTTCTGACAAGATAACAGTGATAAATCTTGACCTAATTGGTTAACCGCGCGAAGCGTTGCTCTTTCCTAGGAATTCAAGGTTGCGCTTTTCTTGGAATGTTTTTCTGCTGTGCATCGGCCGGGAATCGAACCCCTGTCTATCGCGTGGCGGCGACAATTCTACCACTGAACTACCGATGCAGGCTTTAAACTGTTTTAACCGTTCGTGCAAAGTTTTGCTCTTCATACCAATTTTTTCATCAAAGCTTTGAATAAAAATTATGAAAACTTTGTTTCATTTCAATTGAAATTTTGAATTCAGCTGAATATTTTAGTAGTTTCCTCTTTTTTGACAGTGAAACACTAAAAATTACAAACCATGAAATTTGCGCTTTTCTAGTAAAACTCTCTGCGCTGCCTCGGCCGGGAGTCAAACACGAGTATATAGCTTGGCAGGCGAAAATACTTCCACTGAACCACCGATGCTGGAATTAATTTGTTCACCGTTGAACAAAAACTTTGCTCTTCATTTCAATTTCTTACCAAACTTTCGAATCAAAATCATGAATGATTCAATTCATTTGAGTTATGAAATACAGCTATTTATTTGAGTAGTTTTCTTTTTTTTGACTGTGGAACAGTAATAAATTACAAAAGTTTAAGATTGCGCTTTGTTAGGAAAGGTTTGCTGCTATGCAATAAGTTTTGCTCTTCATTCCATTTTTTTCATCAAAGCTTCGAATCAAAATCTTGAAACCGTGTTTCATTTCAATTGAGGTTTTGAACCATGGTCTATCGCGTGGAAGGCGACAAGGCTACGACTGAACCACCGATGCTTGATGTAATGTGTTTTGATAGTTTGAACAAAGTTTTGCTCTATCATCCAAGTTTTTCATCAAAGCGTTGAATCAAAATCATGAAAGCTTCGTTTATTTTTAATTGAGGTTTCCAATTCAGCTAATTAATTGAGTAGTTTTCCTCTTTTTTGACAGTGGTATAGTAATAAGTTACAAAGCTTTAAGACTGCTCTTTCCTAGGAAATTTTTTCTGCTATGCATCGGCCGGGAATCGAACCCGGGTCTATTGCATGGCAGGCGACAATTCTACCACTGAACCACCAATCCTTGTTTTACACAATTTTAATCTTTTGAACAAAATTTTGCTCTTCAATCCAATTTTTTCTTCGAAACTTCGAACAAAATCATGAAAAATTTGTTTCATTCTAATTGAGGTTGAATTCAGCTGACTATTTCAGTAGTTTCCTCTTTTTTGACAGTGGAGCAGTAATAAACGCAAAAATTTAAGTTTGCTTTTTTCCGGCTAAATTTTTCTGCTTTTCTGCTATGCATCGGCCGTGAATCAAACCCGGGTCTATCGCGTGGCAGGCGACAGCTCTACCACTGAACCACCGATGCTTGATTTACACTATTTTAATCGTTTGAACAAAGTTTTGCTCTTCAATCCAATTTTTTCTTCGAAACTTCGAATAAAATCATGAAAAATTTGTTTCACTCTAATTGAGGTTGAATTCAGCTGAAAATTTCAGTGGTTTCCTCTTTTTTGACAGTGGAACAGTAAAAAGTTGCAAAAATTTGAGTTTGCGCTTTTCCGGCTGAATTTTTCTGCTTTTCTGCTATGCATCGGCCGGGAATCAAACCCGGTTCTAACGCGTGGCAGGCGACAACTCTACCACTGATCCATCGATGCTTGATTTACACTATTTTAATCGTTTGAACAAAGTTTTGCTCTTCAATCCAATTTTTTCTTCGAAACTTCGAACAAAATCATGAAAAATTTGTTTCATTCTAATTGAGGTTGAATTCAGCTGAACATTTCAGTAGTTTCCTCTTTTTTGACAGTGGAACAGTAAAAAGTTGCAAAAATTTAAGTTTGCCTCGGACGGGAATCGAAATCGTGTCTATCGCGTGGCAGGCGCCAATTCTACGACTGAACCACCGATGCTTGATGTAATTTGTTTTGATAGTTTGAACAAAGTTTTGCACTATCATCCAAGTTTTTCATCAAAGCGTTGAATCGAAATCATGAAAATTTTGTTTAATTTTGATTGAGGTTTCCAATCCAGCTAATTTTTTGAGTAGTTTTCTTCTTTTTTGACAGTGGCACAATAAAAAATTGAAAAAACATAAAATGGCGCTTTTCTAGAAATTTTTTCTGCTTTTCTGCTTTGCATCGCCCGGGAATCGAACCATGGTCTATTGCGTGGAAGGCAAAAATGCTACAACTGAACCACCGATGCTTGAATTTTCTCTGTTTTAATCGTTTGAACAAAAACTTTACTCTTCATTTCAATCTTTCATCAAGTTTTCGAATCAAAATCATGAATGATTCATTACATTTGAGTTTTGAACTTCAGCTATTTATTTGAGTAGTTTTCGTTTTTGACAGTGGAACAGTAATAAGTTAAAAATGGTTAAAACTGCTCTTTCCTAGGAAATTTTTTCTGCTATGCATCGGCCGGGAGTCGAACTCGGGTCTATCGCGTGACAGGCGACAATTCTACGACTGAACCACCGATGCTTGATTTAATTTGTTTTGATAGTTTGAACAAAGTTTTGCTCTTCAATCCAATCTTTTCATCAAAACTTCGAACAAAATCATGAAAAATTTTTTTCATTCTAATTGAGGATGAATTCGGCTGAAGATTTCAGTAGTTTCCTCTTTTTTGACAGTGGAACAGTAAAAAGTTGCAAAAATTTAAGTTTGCGCTTTTCCGGCAAAATTTTTCTGCTTTTCTGATTTGCCTCGGACGGGAACTGAAATCAGGTCTATCGCGTGGCAGGCGCCAATTCTACGACTGAACCACCGATGCTTGATGTAATTTGTTTTGACAGTTTGAACAAAGTTTTGCACTATCATCCAAGTTTTTCATCAAAGCGTTGAATCAAAATCATAAAAACTTGGTTTAATTTTAATTGAGGTTTCCAATCCAGCTAATTATTTGAGTAGTTTTCTTCTTTTTTGACAGTGGCACAATAAAAAATTGAAAAAACATAAAATGGCGCTTTTCTAGAAAATTTTTCTGCTTTTCTGCTTTGCATCGCCCGGGAATCGAACCATGGTCTTTTGCGTGGAAGGCAAAAATGCTACAACTGAACCACCGATGCTTGAATTTTCTCTGTTTTAATCGTGTGAACAAAAACTTTGCTCTTCATTTCAATCTTTCATCAAGTTTTCGAATCAAAATCATGAATGATTCATTACATTTGAGTTTTGAACTTCAGCTATTTATTTGAGTAGTTTTCGTTTTTGACAGTGGAACAGTAATAAGTTAAAAAAGGTTAAGACTGCTCTTTCCTAGGAAATTTTTTCTGCTATGCATCGGCCGGGAATCGAACCCGGGTCTATAGGGTGCAGGCGACAATTCTACCACTGAACCACCGATGCTTGATTTAATATGTTTTAATAGTTTGAACAAAGTTTTGCTCTTCAATCCAATCTTTTCATCAAAACTTCGAACAAAATCATGAAAACTTTGTTTCATTCTAATTGAGGTTTTGAATTCAGCTGAATATTTCAGTATTTTTCCTCTTTTTGACAGTGGACAGTAAAAGTTACATAAACTTAAACTTGCGCTTTTCTAGTAAAACTCTCTGCGCTGCATCGGCCGGGACTCGAACACGGGTATTTTGCTTTGCAGGCGACAATCCTGCCACTGAACCACTGATGCTTGAATTAGGTTGTTTGCCGTTTGAATAAAAACTATGCCATTCGTTTCAGTTTTTTAACAAAATTTTGAATCGAAATCTTGAATGATTCAATTCATTTGAGTTTTAAAATACAGCTATTTATTTGAGTAGTTTTTGTCTTTTTTGACAGTGGTACAGTAAAAAGTTACAAAAGCTTTAAGACTGCTCTTTCCTATGAAAATTTTTACGCTATACATCGGCCGGGAATCGAACCTGGGTCTATTGCGTGGCAGGCGACAATTCTACCACTGAACAACCGATCCTTGTTTTACACTATTTTAATCGTTTGAACAAAGTTTTGCTCTTCAATCCAATTTTTTCTTCGAAACTTCGAACAAAATCATGAAAAGTTTGTTTCATTCTAAATGAGGTTGAATTCAGCTGAATAATTCAGTAGTTTCCTCTTTTTTGACAGTGGAACAGTAAAAAGTTGCAAAAATTTAAATTTGCGCTTTTCCGGCTAAATTTTTCTGCTTTTCTGCTATGCATCGGCCGGGAATCGAACCCGGGTCTATCGCGTGGCAGGCGACAATTCTACCACTGAACCACCGATGCTTGATTTACACTATTTTAATCGTTTGAAAAAAGTTTTGCTCTTCAATCCAATTTTTTCTTCGAAACTTCGAACAAAATCTTGAAAAATTTTTTTCATTCTAATTGAGGTTGAATTCAGCTGAATATTTCAGTAGTTTTCTCTTTTTCGACAGTGGAACAGTAAAAAGTTGCAAAAATTTAAATTTGCGCTTTTCCGGCTAATCTTTTCTGCTTTTCTGCTACGCATCTGCCGGGAATCGAACCCAGGTCTATCGCGTGTCAGGCGACAATTCTACCACTGAAACACCAATGCTTGATTTATATTATTTTAATCGTTTGAACAAAGTTTTGCTCTTCAATCCAATTTTTTCTTCAAAACTTCGAACAAAATCATGAAAAAAATATTTTTTTAATTCTAATTGAGGTTGAATTCAGCTGAATATTTCAGTAGTTTCCTCCTTTTTGACAGTGGAACAGTAAAAAATTGCAAAAATTTAGTTTGTGCTTTTCCGGCAAAATGTTTCAGCTTTTCTGATTTGCCTCGGACGCGAATCGAAATCGGGTCTATCGCGTGGCAAGCGCCAATTCTACGACTGAACCACGGATGCTTGATGTAATCTGTTTTGATAGTTTGAACAAAGTTTTGCTCTTTCATCCAAGTTTTTCATCAAAGCGTTGAATCAAAATCATAAAAACTTTGTTTAATTTTAATTGAGGTTTCCAATCCAGCTAATTATTTGAGTAGTTTTCCTCTTTTTTGACAGTGGCACAATAAAAAATTGAAAAAACGTAAAATGGCGCTTTTCTAGAAAACGTTTTCTGCTTTTTTGCTTTGCATCGCCCGAGAATCGAACCATGGTCTATTGCGTGGAAGGCAAAAATGCTACAACTGAACCACCGACGCCTGATTTTTATTTGTTTTAATCGTTTGAACAAAAACTTTGCTCTTCATTTCAATCTTTCACCAAGTTTTTGAATCAAAATCATGAATGATTCATTGCAGTTGAGTTTTGAACTTCAGCTATTTATTTGAGTAGTTTTCTTTTTTGACAGTGGAACAGTAATAAGTTACAAAAGGTTAAGACTGCTCTTTCCTTGGAAATTTTTTCTGCTATGCATCGGCCGGGAATCGATCCCGGATCTATCGCGTGGCAGGCAAAAATTCTACCACTGAACCACCGATGCTTGATATACAATATTTTAATCGTTTTAACAAAGTTTTGCTCTTCAATCCAATTTTTTCTTCGAAACTTCGAACAAAATCATGAAAAATTTTTTTCATTCTAATTGAGGTTGAATTCAGCTGAATATTTCAGTAGTTTCCCCTTTTTCGACAGTGGAACAGTAAAAAGTTGCAAAAATTTAAATTTGCGCTTTTCCGGCTAAATTTTTCTGCTTTTCTGGTATGCATCGGCCGGGAATCGAACCCGGGTCTATCGCGTGGCAGGCGACAATTCTACCACTGAACCACCGATGCTTGATTTACACTACTTTAATTGTTTGATCAAAGTTTTGCTCTTCAATCCAATTTTTTCTTCGAAACTTCGAACAAAATCATGAAAAAATTTTTTCATTCTAATTGAGGTTGAATTCAGCTGAATATTTCAGTAGTTTCCCCTTTTTCGACAGTGAAACAGTAAAAAGTTGCAAAAATTTAAATTTGCGCTTTTCCGGCTAAATTTTTCTGCTTTTTTGGTATGCATCGGCCGGGAATCGAACCCGGGTTTATCGCGTGGCAGGCGACAATTCTACCACTGAACCACCGATGCTTGATTTACACTATTTTAATCGTTTGATCAAAGTTTTGCTCTTCAATCCAATTTTTTCTTCGAAACTTCGAAAAAAATCATGAAAAATTTTTTTCATTCTAATTGAGGTTGAATTCAGCTGAATATTTCAGTAGTTTCCCCTTTTTCGACAGTGGAACAGTAGAAAGTTGCAAAAATTTAAATTTGCGCTTTTCCGGCTAAATTTTTCTGCTTTTCTGGTATGCATCGGCCGGGAATCGAACCCGGGTCTGTCGCGTGGCAGGAGACAATTCTAAGACTGAACCACCGATGCTTGATTTATACTGTTTTAATCGTTCCAACAAAGTTTTGCTCTTCATTCCAATTTTTTCATCAAAGCTTCGAATCAAAATCTTGAAACCTTGTTTCATTTCAATTGAGGCTTCGAATTCAGCTAATTATTTGAGTAGTTTTCCTCTTTTTTGACAGTACGTGGCACAGTAAAAAATTGAAAAACGTAAAATTGCGCTTTTCTAGAAAATTTTTTTTTGCTTTTCTGCTATGCATCGCCCGGAAATTGAATCATAGTCTATCGCGTGGAAGGCGTCAATCCTACGACTGAACCACCGATGATTGATGTAATCTGTTTTGATAGTTTGAACAAAGTTTTGCTCTATCGTCCAATTTTTCAACAAAGCGTTGAATCAATATCATGAAAGCTTCATTTAAATTTAATTGAGGTTTCCAATTCAGCTAATTCTTTGAGTAATTTTCCACTTTTTTGACAGTGGAACAGTAATAAGTTACAAAGCTTTAAGACTGCTCTTTCCTAGGAAATTTTTTCCGCTATACATTGGCCGGGAATCGAACCTGGGTCTATTGCGTGGCAGGCGACAATTCTACCACTGAACAACCGATCCTTGTTTTACACTATTTTAATCGTTTGAACAAAGTTTTGCTCTTCAATCCAATTTTTTCTTCGAAACTTCGAACAAAATCATTAAAAAAATTTTTTTCATTCTAATTGAGGTTGAATTCAGCTGAATAATTCAGTAGTTTCCTCTTTTTTGACAGTGGAACAGTAAAAAGTTTCAAAAATTTAAATTTGCGCTTTTCCGGCTAAATTTTTCTGCTTTTCTGCTATGCATCGGCCGGGAATCGAACCTGGGTCTATCGCTTGGCAGGCGACAATTCTACCACTGAACCACCGATGCTTGATTTACACTATTTTAATCGTTTGAACAAAGTTTTGCTCTTCAATCCAATTTTTTCTTCGAAACTTCGAACAAAAGCATGAAAAATTTTTTTCATTCTAATTGAGGTTGAATTCAGCTGAATATTTCAGTAGTTTCCTCTTTTTCGACAGTGGAACAGTAAAAAGTTGCAAACATTTAAATTTGCGCTTTTCCGGCTAATCTTTTCTGCTTTTCTGCTACGCATCGGCCGGGAATCGAACCCAGGTCTATCGCGTGTCAGGCGACAATTCTACCACTGAAACACCGATGTTTGATTTACATTATTTTAATCGTTTGAACAAAGTTTTGCTCTTCAATCCAATTTTTTCTTCGAAACTTCGAACAAACTCATGAAAAAAATATTTTTTTTCATTCTAATTGAGGTTGATTTCAGCTGAATATTTCAGTAGTTTCCTCTTTTTCGACAGTGGAACAGTAAAAAGTTGCAAACATTTAAATTTGCGCTTTTCCGGCTAATCTTTTCTGCTTTTCTGCTACGCATCGGCCGGGAATCGAACCCAGGTCTATTGCGTGGCAGGCGACAATTCTACCACTGAACAACCGATCCTTGTTTTACACTATTTTAATCGTTTGAACAAAGTTTTGCTCTTCAATCCAATTTTTTCTTCGAAACTTCGAACAAAATCATTAAAAAAATTTTTTTCATTCTAATTGAGGTTGAATTCAGCTGAATATTTCAGTAGTTTCCTCTTTTTCGACAGTGGAACAGTAAAAAGTTGCAAACATTTAAATTTGCGCTTTTCCGGCTAATCTTTTCTGCTTTTCTGCTACGCATCGGCCGGGAATCGAACCCAGGTCTATTGCGTGGCAGGCGACAATTCTACCACTGAACAACCGATCCTTGTTTTACACTATTTTAATCGTTTGAACAAAGTTTTGCTCTTCAATCCAATTTTTTCTTCGAAACTTCGAACAAAATCATTAAAAAAATTTTTTTCATTCTAATTGAGGTTGAATTCAGCTGAATAATTCAGTAGTTTCCTCTTTTTTGACAGTGGAACAGTAAAAAGTTTCAAAAATTTAAATTTGCGCTTTTCCGGCTAAATTTTTCTGCTTTTCTGCTATGCATCGGCCGGGAATCGAACCTGGGTCTATCGCTTGGCAGGCGACAATTCTACCACTGAACCACCGATGCTTGATTTACACTATTTTAATCGTTTGAACAAAGTTTTGCTCTTCAATCCAATTTTTTCTTCGAAACTTCGAACAAAAGCATGAAAAATTTTTTTCATTCTAATTGAGGTTGAATTCAGCTGAATATTTCAGTAGTTTCCTCTTTTTCGACAGTGGAACAGTAAAAAGTTGCAAACATTTAAATTTGCGCTTTTCCGGCTAATCTTTTCTGCTTTTCTGCTACGCATCGGCCGGGAATCGAACCCAGGTCTATCGCGTGTCAGGCGACAATTCTACCACTGAAACACCGATGCTTGATTTACACTATTTTAATCGTTTTAACAAAGTTTTGCCCTTCAATCCAATTTTTTCTTCGAAACTTTGAACAAAATTATGAAAAATTTGTTTCACTCTAATTGAGGTTGAATTCAGCTGAATATTTCAGTAGTTTTATCTTTTTTGACAGTGGAACAGTAAAAAGTTGCAAAAATTTAGTTTGTGCTTTTCCGGCAAAATTTTTCAGCTTTTCTGATTTGCCTCGGACGCGAATCGAAATCGGGTCTATCGCGTGGCAAGCGCCAATTCTACGACTGAACCACCGATGCTTGATGTAATCTGTTTTGATAGTTTGAACAAAGTTTTGCTCTTTCATCCAAGTTTTTCATCAAAGCGTTGAATCAAAATCATAAAAACTTTGTTTAATTTTAAATGAGGTTTCCAATCCAGCTATTTATTTGAGTAGTTTTCCTCTTTTTTGACAGTGGCACAATAAAAAATTGAAAAAACGTAATATGGCGCTTTTCTAGAAAATGTTTTCTGTTTTTTTGCTTTGCATCGCCCGAGAATCGAACCATGGTCTATTGCGTGGAAGGCGAAAATGCTACAACTGAACCACCGATGCCTGATTTTTATCTGTTTTAATCGTTTGAACAACAACTTTGCTCTTCATTTCAATCTTTCACCAAGTTTTTGAATCAAAATCATGAATGATTCATTACATTTGAGTTTTGAACTTCAGCTATTTATTTGAGTACTTTTCTTTTTTGACAGTGGAACAGTAATAAGTTACAAAAGGTTAAGACTGCTCTTTCCTAGGAAATTTTTTCTGCTATGCATCGGCCGGGAATCGAACCCGGATCTATCGCGTGGCAGGCAAAAATTCTACCACTGAAACACCGATGCTTGCTTTACATTATTTTAATCGTTTGAACAAAATTTTGCTCTTCAATCCAATTTTTTCTTCGAAACTTCAAACAAAATCACGAAAAAAATATTTTTTTTATTCTAATTGAGGTTGAATTCAGCTGAATATTTCAGTAGTTTCCTCCTTCTTGACAGTGGAACAGTAAAAAGTTGCAAAAATTTAGTTTGTGCTTTTCCGGCAAAATTTTTCAGCTTTTCTGATTTGCCTCGGACGCGAATCGAAATCGGGTCTATCGCGTGGCAAGCGCCAATTCTACGACTGAACCACCGATGCTTGATGTAATCTGTTTTGATAGTTTGAACAAAGTTTTGCTCTTTCATCCAAGTTTTTCATCAAAGCGTTGAATCAAAATCATAAAAACTTTGTTTAATTTTAATTGAGGTTTCCAATCCAGCTATTTACTTGAGTAGTTTTCCTCTTTTTTGACAGTGGCACAATAAAAAATTGAAAAAACGTAAAATGGCGCTTTTCTAGAAAACGTTTTTCTGCTTTTTTGCTTTGCCTCGCCCGAGAATCGAACCATGGTCTATTGCGTGGAAGGCGAAAATGCTACAACTAAACCACCGATGCGTGATTTTTATCTGTTTTAATCGTTTGAACAAAAACTTTGCTCTTCATTTCAATCTTTCACCAAGTTTTTGAATCAAAATCATGAATGATTCATTACATTTGAGTTTTGAACTTCAGCTATTTATTTGAGTAGTTTTCTTTTTTGACAGTGGAACAGTAATAAGTTACAAAAGGTTAAGACTGCTCTTTCCTAGGAAATTTTTTCTGCTATGCATCGGCCGGGAATCGAACCCGGATCTATCGCGTGGCAGGCAAAAATTCTACCACTGAAACACCGATGCTTGATTTACACTATTTTAATCGTTTTAACAAAGTTTTGCCCTTCAATCCAATTTTTTCTTCGAAACTTTGAACAAAATTATGAAAAATTTGTTTCACTCTAATTCAGGTTGAATTCAGCTGAATATTTCAGTAGTTTTATCTTTTTTGACAGTGGAACAGTAAAAAGTTGCAAAAATTTAGTTTGTGCTTTTCCGGCAAAATTTTTCAGCTTTTCTGATTTGCCTCGGACGCGAATCGAAATCGGGTCTATCGCGTGGCAAGCGCCAATTCTACGACTGAACCACCGATGCTTGATGTAATCTGTTTTGATAGTTTGAACAAAGTTTTGCTCTTTCATCCAAGTTTTTCATCAAAGCGTTGAATCAAAATCATAAAAACTTTGTTTAATTTTAAATGAGGTTTCCAATCCAGCTATTTATTTGAGTAGTTTTCCTCTTTTTTGACAGTGGCACAATAAAAAATTGAAAAAACGTAAAATGGCGCTTTTCTAGAAAATGTTTTCTGTTTTTTTGCTTTGCATCGCCCGAGAATCGAACCATGGTCTATTGCGTGGAAGGCGAAAATGCTACAACTGAACCACCGATGCCTGATTTTTATCTGTTTTAATCGTTTGAACAACAACTTTGCTCTTCATTTCAATCTTTCACCAAGTTTTTGAATCAAAATCATGAATGATTCATTACATTTGAGTTTTGAACTTCAGCTATTTATTTGAGTACTTTTCTTTTTTGACAGTGGAACAGTAATAAGTTACAAAAGGTTAAGACTGCTCTTTCCTAGGAAATTTTTTCTGCTATGCATCGGCCGGGAATCGAACCCGGATCTATCGCGTGGCAGGCAAAAATTCTACCACTGAAACACCGATGCTTGCTTTACATTATTTTAATCGTTTGAACAAAGTTTTGCTCTTCAATCCAATTTTTTCTTCGAAACTTCGAACAAAATCATGAAAAATTTTTTTCATTCTAATTGAGGTTGAATTCAGCTGAATATTTCAGTAGTTTCCTCTTTTTTGACAGTGGAACAGTAAAAAGTTGCAAAAATTTAAATTTGCGCTTTTCCGGCTAATCTTTTCTGCTTTTCTGCTACGCATCGGCCGGGAATTGAACCCAGGTCTATCGCGTGTCAGGCGACAATTCTACCACTGAAACACCGATGCTTGATTTACATTATTTTAATCGTTTGAACAAAGTTTTGCTCTTCAATCCAATTTTTTCTTCGAAACTTCAAACAAAATCACGAAAAAAATATTTTTTTTATTCTAATTGAGGTTGAATTCAGCTGAATATTTCAGTAGTTTCCTCCTTCTTGACAGTGGAACAGTAAAAAGTTGCAAAAATTTAGTTTGTGCTTTTCCGGCAAAATTTTTCAGCTTTTCTGATTTGCCTCGGACGCGAATCGAAATCGGGTCTATCGCGTGGCAAGCGCCAATTCTACGACTGAACCACCGATGCTTGATGTAATCTGTTTTGATAGTTTGAACAAAGTTTTGCTCTTTCATCCAAGTTTTTCATCAAAGCGTTGAATCAAAATCATAAAAACTTTGTTTAATTTTAATTGAGGTTTCCAATCCAGCTATTTATTTGAGTAGTTTTCCTCTTTTTTGACAGTGGCACAATAAAAAATTGAAAAAACGTAAAATGACGCTTTTCTAGAAAACGTTTTTCTGCTTTTTTGCTTTGCCTCGCCCGAGAATCGAACCATGGTCTATTGCGTGGAAGGCGAAAATGCTACAACTAAACCACCGATGCGTGATTTTTATCTGTTTTAATCGTTTGAACAAAAACTTTGCTCTTCATTTCAATCTTTCACCAAGTTTTTGAATCAAAATCATGAATGATTCATTACATTTGAGTTTTGAACTTCAGCTATTTATTTGAGTAGTTTTCTTTTTTGACAGTGGAACAGTAATAAGTTACAAAAGGTTAAGACTGCTCTTTCCTAGGAAATTTTTTCTGCTATGCATCGGCCGGGAATCGAACCCGGATCTATCGCGTGGCAGGCAAAAATTCTACCACTGAAACACCGATGCTTGATTTACACTATTTTAATCGTTTTAACAAAGTTTTGCCCTTCAATCCAATTTTTTCTTCGAAACTTTGAACAAAATTATGAAAAATTTGTTTCACTCTAATTGAGGTTGAATTCAGCTGAATATTTCAGTAGTTTTATCTTTTTTGACAGTGGAACAGTAAAAAGTTGCAAAAAGTTAAGTTTGCGTTTTTCTGGCAAAATTTTTCTGCTTTTCTGATTTGCATCGCAAGGGAATCGAAATCGGGTCTATCGCGTGGCAGACGACAATTCTACGACTGAACCACCGATGCTTGATGTAATCTGTTTTGATAGTTTGAACAAAGTTTTGCTTTTCAATCCAATCTTTTCATCAAAACTTCGAACAAAATCATGAAAACTTTGTTTCATTCTAATTGAGGTTTTGAATTCAGCTGAATACTTCAGTAGTTTTCCTCTTTTTGACAGTGGACAGTAAAAATTACAGAAACTTAAACTTGCGCTTTTCTAGTAAAACTCTCTGCGCTGCATTAGCCGGGACTCGAACCCGGGTATTTTTCTTTGCAGGCGACAATCCTGCCACTGAACCACTGATGCTTGAATTAAGTTGTTCACCGTTTGTACAAAAACTTTGCCCTTAGTTTCAGTTTTTTAACAATATTTTGATTCGAAATCTTAAATGATTCAATTCATTTGAGTTTTAAAATACAGCTATTTATCTGAGTAGTTTTCCTCTTTTTTGACAGTGGTACAGTAAAAAGTTACAAAAGTTTAAGACTGCTTTTTCCTAGGAAAATTTTTCTGCTATGCATCGGTTGGGACTCGAAACCGGGTCTATCGCGTGGCAGGCGACAATTCTACTATTGAACCAGCGATGCTTGATTTACACTATTTTAATCGTCTGAAGAAAGTTTTGCTCTTCAATCCAACTTTTTCATCAAAACTTTGAACAAAATCATGAAAACTTTGTTTCAGTCTAGTTGAGGTTTTGAACTCAGCTGAATATTTTAGTAGTTTCCTCTTTTTTGACAGTGGAGCAGTAATAAACGCAAAAATTTAAGTTAACGCTTTTCCGGCAAAGTTTTTTGCTTTGCTGCTTTGCATCGGCCGGGAATCGAACCCCGGTCTGTCGCGTGGCAGGAGGCAATTCTAGGACTGAACCACCGATGCTTGACTTATACTGTTTTAATTGTTCCAACAAAGTTTTGCTTATCATTCCATTTTTTTCATCAAAGCTTCAAATCAAAATCTTGAAACCTTATTTCATTTCAATTGAGGTTTCGAAATCAGCTAATTATTTGAGTAGTTTTCCTCTATTTTGACAGTGGCACAGTAAAAATTTGAAAAAACGTAAAATTGCGCTTTTCTAGAAATGTTTTGTTGCTTTTCTGCTATGCATCTCCCGGGAATTGAACCATGGTCTATCGCGTGGAAGGAGACAATGCTAAGACTGAACCACCGATGCTTGATGTAATCTGTTTTGATAGTTTGAACAAAGTTTTGCTCTATCAGCCAAGTTTTTCATCAAAGCGTTTAATCAAAATCATGAAAGCTTCGTTTAATTTTAATTGAGGTTTCCAATTCAGCTAATTATTTGAGTAGGTTTCCTCTTTTTTGACAGTGGAACAGTAAAAAGTTACAAAGTTTTAAGACTGCTCTTTCCTAGAAACTTTTTTCTGCTATGCATCGGCCGGGAATCGAACTCGAGTTCATTGCGTGGCAGGCGACAATTCTACCACTGAACCACCGATTCTTGTTTTACACTATTTTAATCGTTTGAATAAAATTTTGATCTTCAATCCAATTTTTTCTTCGAAACTTCGAACAAAATCATGAAAAATTAATTTCATTCTAATTGAGGTTGAATTCAGCTGAATATTTCAGTAGTTTCCTCTATTTTGACATTGGAACAGTAAAAAGTTGCAAAAATTTAAATTTGCGCTTTTCCGGCTAAACTTTTCTGCTTTTCTGCTATGCATCGGCCGGGAATTGAACCCGGGTCTATCGCGTGGCAAGCGACAATTGTACCACTGAACCACCGATGCTTGATTTACACTATTTTAATCGTTTGAACAAAGTTTTGTTCTTCAATCCAATTTTTTCTTCGAAACTTCGAACAAAATCATGAAAAATTTGTTTCATTCTAATTGAGGTTGAATTCAGCTGAACATTTCAGTAGTTTCCTCTTTTTTGACAGTGGAACAAAAAAAGCTGCAAAAAATTAAATTGCGCTTTTCCGGCAAAATTTTTCTGCTTTTACGATTTGCATCGGCCGGGAATCGAAATCGGGTCTATCGCGTGGCAGGCGCCAATTCTACGACTGAACCACCGATGCTTGATTTGATCTGTTTTTGATAGTTTCAAGAAAGTTTTGCTCTATCATCCAAGTTTTTCATCAAAGCGTTGAATCAAAATCATAAAAACTTTGTTTAATTTTAACTCAGCTAATTTTTTGAGAAGTTTTCCTCTTTTTTGACAGTGGCACAATAAAAAATTGAAAAAAGATAAAATGGCGCTTTTCTAGAAAATTTTTTCTACGTTTCCGCTTTGCATCGCCCGGGAATCGAACCATGGTCTATTGCGTGGAAGGCAAAAATGCTACAACTGAACCACCGATGCTTGATTTTTATCTGTTTTAATCGTTTGAACAAAAACTTTGCTCTTCATTTCAATCTTTCACCAAATTTTTGAATCAAAATCATGAATGATTCATTACACTCGAGTTTTGAACTTCAGCTATTTATTTGAGTAGTTTTCTTTTTAGACAGTGGAACAGTAATCAGTTACAAAAGGTTAAGACTGCTCTTCCCTAGGAAATTTTTTCTGCTATGCATCGGCCGGGAATCGAACCCGGGTCTATCGCGTGGCAGGCGAAAATTCTACCACGGAACCACCGATGCTTGATTTACACTTTATTAATCGTTTGAACAAAGTTTTGCTCTTCAATCCATTTTTTTCTTCGAAACTTCGAACAAAATCATGAAAAATTTATTTCATTCTAATTGAGGTTGAATTCAGCTGAACATTTCAGTAGTTTCCTCTTTTTTGACGGTGGAACAGTAAAACGTTGCAAACATTTAAGTTTGCGCTTTTCTGGCAAAGTTTTTCTGCTTTTCTGATTTCAATCGGACGGGCATCGAAATCGGGTCTATCGCGTGGCAGGGGACAATTCTACTATTGAACTAGCGATGCTTAATTTACACTATTTTAATCGTCTGAACAAAGTTTTGCTCTTCAATCCAATCTTTTCATCAAAACTTCAAACAAAAGCATGAAAACTTTGTTTCATTCTAATTGAGGTTTTGAATTCAGCTGAATATTTCAGTATTTTTCTTCTTTTTGACAGTGGACAGTAAAAATTACAGAATTTTAAACTTGCACTTTTCTAGTAAAACTCTCTGCGCTGCATCGGCTGGGACTCGAACACGGGTATTTTGCTTTGCAGGCGACAATCTTGCCACTGAACCACTGCTGCTTGAATTAAGTTGTTCACTGTTTGAACAAAAACTTTGCCCTTCGTTTCAGTTTCCTAACAATATTTTGAATCGAAATCTTGAATGATTCAATTCATTTGAGTTTTAAAATACACCTATTTATTTGAGTAGTTTTCCTCTTTTTTGACAGTGGTACAGTAAAAAGTTACAAAAGTTTAAGACTGCTTTTTCCTAGGAAATTTTTTCTGTTATGCATCGGTCGGGAATCGAAACCGGGTCTATCTCGCGGCAGGCGAAAATTGTAATATTGAACCAGCGATGCTTAATTTACACTATTTTAATCGTCTGAACAAAGTTTTGCTCTTCAATCTAACTTTTTCATCAAAACTTTGAACAAAATCATGAAAACTTTGTTTCATTCTAATTGAGGTTTTGAATTCAGCTGAATATTTCAGTATTTTTCCTCTTTTTGACAGTGGAGCAGTAATAAACGCAAAAATTTAAGTTTGCGCTTTTCCGGCAAAGTTTTTTGCTTTGCTGCTTTGCATCGGCCGGGAATCGAATCCGGGTCTGTCGCGTGGCAGGAGACAATTCTAGGACTGAACCACCGATGCTTGATATATACAGTTTTAATCGTTCCAACAAAGTTTTGCTCTTCATTCCATTTTTTTTTCATCAAAGCTTCGAATCAAAATCTTGAAACCTTGTTTCTTTT